AACGAAAGGAAAAAGGAAAAACTCAAAGTTGAGCCAATCCCTCCCACTCTGAAAATAGGGGAGTGGAGGGTAAGGGATTCCACCACACCTCCATCTCCCTCACTTTTTTTTCCAAGAGAAATCCAAATAGAGAGAAGGAAAGACTCCCCGGGCCCTCCCTCTCTCTCTCCCTTCTAAACCCCCTATCTTAACTCATCTTGAAAGTTCTTTGGTGTGATTGGATTAGATTTCATAATCCATGTCCCCATTGTTTTGTCACTGAGGAATGTTCCCATTGTTATGCCTTTTGTACTTGATGATGTGCATCTTTCACCTCCAAAAGGGGGGGACAGAACTAAAATTATCCATCCTATTCGGAAAGGCAAATTTCTTGTACAGGAACCTCAAATGGTCTAAGCCAAAACCCATTACTAATTAAGTCTTTGAATTAAGTTTATAAGCTTTTAAAAATTCAAGATATTATTAATGACAAATCATGATAATTATATATTAATCACATTTACATTTTCATCTTGATGAGGGATTCATGGTGTCACTAGGTGTGTATTAAGGAATCAAATCTAGGTGCTCATCAAAAGAGAAAAAAAAGGGGGGGAAACAAATCTAGTATTATTTTCTCAAAAATGAAAAAGGGCCACACCACACTCGTGGAAATGCAGCTGGTTTGGACCATAAATGTTTCTATAAACTTTTGCCTTGGAAGGTGCGTGTCCTTACATCTGTTCCCCCTATTGATTCAGTGGAATGTGAGGTGGAGCGAACGCGTAGTGAAGAGGAAATTTAGCCATAAAATAAGGTGAAAAATAGTGGAAAGCAACATGATTTTGCACCTTCCTATTTGCTTTTATAGCTTGCTTTTGAGATCATATTGCTTACCTTGTTCTTGCATCATCCAAGACATTGTTCTTCTTGTTGAAGCCCAAAAACTTAAAAAAAAAAAGGGATAGAAAGAAATGCATGACTTTATTTTAACATGAAGATGGAAATAGTTGAAAAAATTTACAGAAATCTGGCAGAGTTGAACTGTTCATAGTAATCATTATTACACATTAATAAAACAAAGCATGGTTCCTTCATCTTACAGTGATCTGTAGAAATTTCATTTCCCTTCTGGAGATGGAGCGATTTCAGGTGCAGGGGCAGGAGCATTTTGGTTATTTCCAAGGAATCCAAATTTCTTGATCAGCTCATTAGCAATTAACTGGTTGGCACTGTCTGATGGATGGTACTCATCCCAGAAGACATATTTGCTTCTGTCTTTACACAATGTGGATGCAGGTATACATGTGAGAGCAGGCCTAATTCTTCCCAGGGAACAACATGGTGAATCCGAGTTCGTAAACCCTGCAAAAATGAAATTCAAATAAAATTGTCTGGAACTGTGTTCATCATAATGGCTTAAGTCCTTAGGTGAGATCCGAGTATAAGGTTCATCATGTGAAATGGACCATACCATATTTTGATGGATTGGTAATCACGTCATTGACAACATCATACGCATCTCCAAATCTGAAGCTGGCATTGGGGAGTTTACTTGACAGCTGCTGGAGTAACTGGCTTCCAGCCTTGTTGAAGCTGAGGGCCAGATTGTTTGCCCTTTCCTGACACGCCCCATTTGTACTCAGGACCCTTTGCAGGGGTATGCACCCCATTGGTCCTAATCCAAACACAATCAATTCCCGTGCCCCTGACCCGTGCAAAATCTGCAGAAAACAACAAGAAAAGAAGAATGCTCAACACATGACAAACAAGTCTCAAGAACTATTTCACCTGAGAGATTAAGTTGTAAGGTGATCGATGTGCCTAAAAATAGCATTGATCTTAAATATAAAGGATGACATTACCTTTAATTGATCTCCTAGAGTTTCCATCATATAGTCTATGTAAGTCTTATCATTGTAGTTCCATGAGTCACTGTATACTGGCATTAAGTAATTGTTGATGAAGTCATTGCTGCCTAAAGCAACCACATATTTTGCCCCTTGGAAGAACTTAGCTGCCTCCTCTGCCCCGATTTGGTTCTTGATTAATTTCTGTGTCCCTTGAAAGAGCTCGATTTGTTTGTAGAGAGAAAGCCTTTGAATCTGCAGCAAAACAAGGTAACAATAAAAATTGAATTTTTCTTCAGACTCCTAACATAAAGCATGGTGATTTCTGAGAAAAATTGAAATTTTTTTACTTACAAATAAGCTTCCTGTTTCATTTAAAATCCCACCACCTCCTGAGGCATAATTCACTCCATTTTCCAATATTACATCTGCTGTCAAAGATGGATCAAGAAAAGCTGGGGGCCGAGGGAGACCATAATGGTCACCTGAAATCATTGAAATTTAAATGTTCATATGATAATTCTGAAAGAATTATACACAAACTTGGTAAGAATCTTAGAGGTCTAGGCATTACCCATTATATCAGCAACGGTGCGACCATTGGTGAACCTCCCATTAGGCAGTCCGTTGCCAAAATCAATACCATAATACGGCAGGTTGGCCTGAGCCAGGCTCCGAGAAAGGTACCTATTGTTCCCAACATCGGACAGGGAATCCCCAAAAATGAACTGCACCACCTTACAATGACTGTCGGAAACCAAAATCCCCAAAAGGGTCACCACCACTATGTTCACAGCCCCCATGAACTTCATCTTCAGCTCCAGACAATACTCTCCTTAAGTTGTCTTAACAATCGGAGCCTTAGAGTTAATATATGTTTCTATCGCAGACTTGGTCCTGATATATTGGAGAATTTGCAGAGGAAGAAGGTTAAAAAAGGAAGGAAAGCAGGACAGGAATTACTAGAATGTTTTGGGGGGGGAATGTTGTTTGATGAACAAACACTTTGATAGATTCAAACCTACTGCAACCACCTTGGTTTCTTGTTTGGGTTGCATACCTACTTTTAACTACCCAAATTCTTGTTACAACGGTGTTCGAATCAAAACAGTACTTTGATAAGAGTTTTTTTTTTTTTTTCCCCCTCTTAATTTTGGGTTTAAGAACGAGGATTCTGAATTAAACAGCACGTAAAAAGATTTTGAAGATTTAGAGTCTGTTTGGTTTGGTAAAACTTATCTGAATTTTTATATTTTTTGTATTATTTATAGATGATAAGTTTAAATTTTGATTAGAAAAAAAATTTAAAAGTTATTTAAAACAAAAGTAAATAAAAAAATTTATAAAAAATAAAAAATTAAAATTTTATAAAATTTATTATTTAAAATTTTTTAAAATTTAAAAAAATTTAAAAATATAAATTTTTTTTAAAAAAAAAATTTAATTTATGAAACATAAATAATATTAAAAAATTAAAGTATTTACAAATTTTACTAAACATGCTCTTAATCAAGTAATCTTACTGGGGCAGATGGTTTCTGGAATGGAAGTTTACCAAACTTAAGCCTTTTCTTGCAAGGGAAAATTGGAGAGGAGTGTGTTGTCCAATGCAGGGGTTACGTTTTATATTAATATAGGTTAGAAAACTCACTTTTATTTGATAAGAGAGAATGAAATGAGAATTTAATTATAATATTTTCATAACATAATGTTAAACGACTAAACACATATTAAATTAAATATTGAATTACACGTGCCATGAGCTAAAAAGCGTCAATCACACGAAACACCGTGGCTTTCATGACGTGGTGCAAAAATTTTTTTTTGGTAGGATTATTACGTCGTGCAAAATAATAAAAGGAAAAGGAACGAACTTCTGTTATTGTCACACTAATAGAAGAGCAACCTGCTTAGGCCAAAGAGGAATAATTTGGGCCAATAAACTTGAAGCCAAACAGAACCTTTTTGTTTTGTGAATTTGGTTTTGATTTTTTGGGCCACCAATTTGGGTTTTAGTTGATACTTGATGTAGTTGAGACATGGCCAGCCCGTCCAATTGATTAAAAAATTTTCAACTTTTTTTTTCATTTTAGGGATGATTCATAAATTTCCCTAGTTCTGTTCTCTCTTTTTCCTTGAATACATAGTTCTGTTCTTTTTGGACTTTAGAAGGAAATGGAATATAGTGAAAGGAAATAAGAAGAAAATTAAAGAAATATGTACTTTATCAGAAAAGTGAAATCAAGATATCAAAGACGTTCAATTATGTAAAATTTATATTATATTTTAATTATTATGTAATTTTAATTAAACATTTAAAAATTTTTAATATTAAGACATTCTAATTTTTTATATATTTATGTTTACTTGAATCAGTTTTTTTAACCATTAATGTGCTAAAATCCACTAGTAAATGCACTTAATAAAGTAATCAATAGAGTATTATTCTCACAGAGACAATGACTAATTGAATATTGAAAATAACTAATTCTAAAATTATTTAAACAATTAAAGACTAAAATTAATTTAAAAAAATAACAATTTAAAATGAAAGCACCGAGATATAATGTAACACCCCACATACCTTAATGAATAATTTAAAAATTAGTGACCTTTAGTTTATAGTTTTAAGGATTAAATTAATTGAATTTAAAGTTGGGGGGTTTTAAGTGAAACTTAGTAGAAGTTGAATGGCCTTAACTCAATTATCCCAATTCTACTTACCACATGGCATTCTCTCAACCAAGTTTTTTTTCCATTGTCGGTGGGACTTGGATAAGCCCCCACAAGGCTCCCAAAAGACCCCATTTCTTTTTGTCCTGCGTCTTGCTTCTTCCAGCCATCCCCTGCATCATTTTCTTCCTTTTTTTCTCCAGCCAAGGTTGAGGTGCTGTTTAGGTAAGTATAAGTTTTAGTTATGAATTTTGGGTTAGAATTTTGGGTAGTTTAAATGGGTGAGATTTGACTTTAATCCTTTGGTTTATAAGATTTTTGGGTATTAAACTTTTATTAGAAATATCTTTAATTTTAGGGCTTATATGAGAAATATAGTGAGTTAGTCCTTTTTATTGTTTGATTTGGGTGTGAATTTTGCCTACAGGAATTATAAGTAAATTGTGCTAATTGCAAATTACTGTTCACAATTACTGTTTATGATTACTGTTCACGCATTATGCTTTTATCTCTTTCAATAGGAAGTCCTAATATTATTTTGGACATATTATGAATTTGTTTGACATGCGTATGTGTTTGTGGCTATGGAGTAAGTGGACCTA